TTAAACTACCTTCCCTTCCCTTGGCTTGCTCAGGATCCCCACAGCTGCAGAAAGCCCAAGCAAGCCGGCTGCTGGAGGGATGTGCATTCAGGCCCCATTCAGAATTCTGAGGGCCGAATCAGATTCTCTGATCTGATTCGGCTTCCCGCAGTTCGGCCTCATTATATCCTATGGGCCATTGAAGTCAATGGCGAAAACATAGGCTATATTCTGGGGGCTGGAGGAGAAGGGGTTTGAGGGAGAGGCTCCAAAATTGCAGGGTAGCTGCTGGAGCCTCTCCCCAAGATACCAACCATGTTTCAGGAACGTTGAACCAGGGGGTCCAATTCTACGGGCCCCCAAACAGGTTGCCCACATCCCCTCCATTGTTCTCTATGGTGGGTGCTCCGGTGCGCTCTGGCAGGAACCGAGGCCTGCCTAAAACACTGCATTTCTCATCTTCTCCCAGGATTCAGAGTCACCTGGTGGAGTTGTCTCCAGTTTTCCCAGCCTCTTACAGCCACTCTACTCAGCCCATCCACCTCAGAGACTCCTAGTGCGAATTGCTGGGAGACTTCGTGTGCTGGAAGGTCTGTATGCTGTTGTCAGTAAGCAAGAAGCAATAGCTATATGGCTGAGGGGGGCAGAGTAAAAACAGAGACTGAAGGAAGAAAAGGAGAGGCAAAGACTAGGTGCCAAGAGAGAAAAGAGGCAGTTCCAAGGGACTCAAAGAGAAAAGAGGGCTTAATGTAATTTAGAAAGAGTATACTGGCTTAATTCAGCTATCACACGAAATTGTTTTTTGTTTTTTTTTAACGATCACTTAAATCCTGGTATGCATAGACAAATGCTGGTTTCATTGCCTTTTTGCCGTAGCCTGGAAGAGTATTACTTGAGAACAAGCCAGGACGTCTGCATTCATATATCACACAAAACCATAACAGAACAACTACAGATCCTGGTTCTACAGACTGTTGTTGTTCAGTTGCACAGTCAAGTCCGACTCTTTACGACCCCATGGACCAGATCACGCCAGGCCTTCCTATCTTCCGCTGTTCTCTGAAGTTTGCTCAATTTCATGTTCGTTGCATCTATGACACTGTCTAACCATCTCATCCTTTGCCGTCCCCGTCTTCTTTGGCCTTCAATCTTTCCCAGCATCAGGGTCTTCTCCAGTGAGTGCTCCCTTCTCATTTGGTGGCCAAAGTATTTGAGCTTCAGTTTCATTATCTGGCCTTCCAGGGAACAGTCAGGGTCGATTTCTTTTAGGATTGACTGATTTGATCTTGCAGTCCAAGGGACTCTCAAGAGTCTTCTCCAGCACCATAGTTCAAAAGAATCTATTCTTCGGCGCTCGGCCTTCCTTATAGTCCAACTCTCGCAGCCATACATGACTACTGAGAATACCATTGCTTTGACCATGCGGACTGTAAGTACCCATAGTTGGCAGAGCAGTCTGTATTCAGACAATCACACTAACCATGGTTAGTTAAGTTAAATTAAGTTAAGTAGCCTTTATTGGCATTGAAAAAAATTGATACAAGTTAATACAGTTTAAAAGGTAAGTTAAAACCACAACATACAAACCATGGTTAGTTTAATGAAACCATGATTTCATTCAGTGCCTGCATTATGTCTAAATTGTAACCAAATTTTGTTTTCCCACAGTTAACATAGTAGTACAGCCGTTTTGAGTGATTTGTGCATCCCTGAATGATATTCATAGCCCGTATGAAATGGAAAGATATGGGTTTATATCCTTGTACAACTTGCTGGCCTGCCAAGTGCAGAGAGATCTACTGGTCCCTTCCATGAAACCTTAATTTAATGAGTCCCAATCCAGTGCTCGGTGACTTGTGCATTGATAGCATGCATGAATTACTTTTTCACAATGCTCTGCCCACTTCTTACAGGGTACTGTTTGTTTTTCAGGGGTTTATTGCTGTTGTTTTTCTGGTTGCTTCTCCCCTCCCCCTCCCCTTAATTTCAGATCATGCCAACCTGCCGCTGGCACCATTGCTGATCCTGCAGGAGGGGGGCAGCCACCTATTAATCACTAATCTCTCTTGACTAATCCTGCTCTCTCCCCGTCTCTCTTTTCTGGGTAAGAGGATTCAGCTAGCAAACTGGCACACGGATTTCTAAGAATAAAAGAGTGGCAGGAAAGGCGGCTCCAGGGAACTTCAGGGAAATGAAATGCGACACATTGGTGTCACGGAGGGGAAAGTATGGCAGTGAAGCCCACTAGAGAATTAAAATTTTCTAAAAGAAAAATGTCCCATACCTTATGCAACCAACTTTGTAAGGATGGAGGACTTTTATTTTTCCAAAATTTAGCTATAAGGATTTTTGCCGCAGTAAATAATAAATTGATTAGCTGTTTCTTAGCGGTAGATATAGCCACATTTGGCCAGAGGTTTAATAGCATTAAAGTTGGGGTTACTGGCAGTTCCCAATCCGTTAATGTTTTAATTTGTTTTGCTACTTGAACCCAGAAATTATGTACATGCTTGCACTTCCACCAACAATGATAAAATGTGGCTTTTTCTTTGCATCCCTTCCAACATAAAGGAGAAAGCCGTGGTATCATATGGGTCAATTTGGCCGGGGTCATGTACCAACGTAAAACAACCTTTAAATTCGCTTCTTGCACATATGATACAAGTTAATACAGTTTAAAAGGTAAGTTAAAACCACAACATACAAACCATGGTTAGTTTAATGAAACCATGGTTTCATTCAGTGCCTGCATTATGTCTAAATTGTAACCAAATTTCGTTTTCCCCCAGTTAGCATAGTAGTACAGCCGTTTTGAGTAATTTGCTTTGTGCATCCCTGAATGATATTCATAAGAGACGCTCATATTCTGTAAGAGGTTGTTGTGGCGCGGTCTTAAAGTCTGAAGTTTCTATAAAATGACGTACCTGGAAATACTCAAACCATTTTAGTCGTACGTTATATTTTTTTTCAATGTCAATTTTTTCTAAAAGTTTTGTCTTGTGAATAATGTCTACGATTACCCGTATGAAATGGAAAGATATGGGTTTATATCCTTGTACAACTTGGTGGCCTGCCAAGTGCAGAGAGATCTACTGGTCCCTTCCATGAAACCTTATTTTAATGAGTCCCAATCCAGTGCTCAGTGACTTGTGCATTGATAGCATGCATGAATTACCTTTTCACAATGCTCTGCCCACTTCTTACAGGGTACTGTTTGTTTTTCAGGGGTTTATTGCTGTTGTTTTTCTGGTTGCTTCTCCCCTCCCCCTCCCCTTAATTTCAGATCATGCCAACCTGCCGCTGGCACCATTGCTGATCCTGCAGGAGGGGGGCAGCCACCTATTAATCACTAATCTCTCTTGACTAATCCTGCTCTCTCCCCGTCTCTATTTTCTGGGTAAGAGGATTCAGCTAGCAAACAGGCACACGGATTTCTAAGAATAAAAGAGTGCCAGGAAAGGCGGCTCCAGGGAACTTCAGGGAAATGAAATGCGACACATTGGTGTCACGGAGGGGAAAGTATGGCAGTGAAGCCCACTATGCTTCATGGAGGAGCAAGCCTCTCTAGATGTTGGGTGTGGCATCCAATGTAACCGAATGTCAGAGGTTCAAGTCTGCTAGTGTGACATATTAATTGGCCCCAGCTACACAGGAGACCCGCACCTAGACAGGGTCTTGGCTCATCCCAAGTGCAAGCATGCTCATCCCAAGTACAAGCATACTTGTGTACGCACGCGTACGACTTCAAAAAAGCCAGATGATTTTGAAGAATTAGATGACATTTCTAATGTCTCTCACAAAGAGCAAAAATTATGTTTGCCCATGCTTGTGATAAATGCCACCAGCAGACTTTTTTTTCTGGTTGAGGGAATTCACAGAGGGACAGCATTTTGCTTGTTGTCACAGACGTACACAGATCATTTGGGTCCAGGAAATCCTGATGAACAGTGTCCGGCAGAAGAAAACTTTGGGGACCGAGGAAGTCCTCTACTTGATCTTTGCCATTCTGCATTTCAGTTTAACAAGGGTCACCCTCGAGGAGTTTAACAAAGGATGCTTGTGGATTATCACAAAAGCTGTGTGTATTTGGAATGATAACAGCTCATTAGCAAGCCAGGCAAGAATGGGAATGAAATCCCCAGGGCTAGACATGCACAAAAGACCCAATGAAAATAAATCCGGTAGTCGGAAGGAACACGCTTCTCTTCATGCACTTGCTGTTCTGTCCATGGAAAGCCGCATCAAGTGTACAAAAATGAATTCATGATTCAGGAATAACACTGGTCCCTGAGAATGCCTCATTATATTTAGTTATTTACTTCATCTGTAGCACTGCTTTTTTCACCAACAGCGACCCAAAGCAGCTTACATTGTTCTCTTCTCCTCCATTTTACTCTCAGACCAAAAGGGTGTGTCTGGATGGAGTCACCCAGCAAGCTTCTGAGGCAGAGTAGGGATTCGAAGCTGGGTCGCTCGGTTCCTAGTCTGACACCCAAGGGCTACCAGGATTGTAACACGGAGGCAGGCAACGGGAAACCACCTCGGAACATCTCTGGCTTTGAAAGCCCCATGGGGTCACCATAACTCAGCTGTGACTTGATGGCAAAAATGTATTTTTAATTTATTTTTTTTGCTGGGTATCACTTTGAAATGTGAAAAATGGCTTATAGCTTATAGCTCTTGCCAACAAACAAATAAATAAAGGTTAACAAATGGCCAGAGCATACTCCCTCCCCCCATGTGATACATTACATAAGTTAATTCAGATGATACAGTTTCCAGCATCTAAATAGCTTTTCACTTGTGTTCCCCAGGTCATAATACTTCTGAAGCACGTATTTTAGCTCAATGTGTTATGTCTTGAGAGACATAATGGTAAAAGCTTGATCTACCATAGCTCATTATACGGATTGTAAATACTGACCAATGGTGTGTATTCTGGAGGGAATGGGTTCAGGCCCGTAGCCTCCATGGGGCCCATGGGGCCGGCCCCCCACTCGTTTTGTGGGCCCCCTCCCTACCGATCCTCTGCTCCCCGGGGGGCTTGGCTGGCGGGATCCTCTCTTCGCCCCCAGTCAGCCGCGCTGAGGCGCAGGACGCGGCAGAAGAGCGGCCGGAGCTCGGCGAGGGAGAGTCCGAAGGCGCCTGCTCGCTTGCCCGGTCCCGGCTTTAAAGAAGCCGTGTGCGCGCGCTGGGCTGCAGGCAGGCGTTGCCGAGTGGCCCGGGCGCCACGGGAGGAGGGGGCGCCCATCCTGAGCGAAGCCCCCTGGGACGCCCCCTCCTCCTGCGTCCGGGCCACTTGGCGGCGCCTGCCTGCAGGCCAGTGTGCGTGGCTCCTTTAAAGCCGGGACCAGGCGAGTGAGCAGGCGCCTTTTACCTTTACGGTTTGCCATCGCTTTCGTCCCAAGG